AGCAAATGCAAGATTTTTTTTTTTCATGGTGTCTTTTTTTTTTTTATTTCCTGCTTGCATGAATCCACATGTGAGCACCTGCTAAAGGACTGTCAAGTGTGACTTCTTCTTTGTTTTTTTCCGCAGAGTTCTTCTCTGAACTGGACAAGGTTATGAGCCCGCTCATCTTCAACACCAGCAGCATGACTGAGCTGGTGCGATTCACGCGGCAGGGCCTGCACTGGCTACGACTGGACGCCAAGCTCATACAGTAGAGCGGCCCTATCCGCGCTCTATCCGTAGCCCAAAACACTCACACTCGATCTGCCTCGGACATCTCTGTGACACTGTGTTCATTTCTACACCAGCTTGCCAAAAATGGAAGCACTCAGCGTCCCGCCCCTCCACCGCAAACCCTATGAATATTCATGAGAGGGGCGGCAGCCAAACCACACATCTGTCAGAGCGCTCATACACTGCATCGTCCTGCTCATATCATCGGCTTGTTTAGCTAAAAAAAAGCCTGGTTTCTTACTTTGACTGTCTTTTTTGTTAATTCTCTTCTAGCTGTAAGCAAACAAGAATAATAATTGGATGTTTATAGCTTTTTATTTCAACCAAAGTACCTCCCTTTAACCAAAGGTGCTTTAAAATTGAGGTTTTCTCCTTTTATCATTTTATCGTGCCTTGTATTTGATATACAGGAAACTAACTATCTTGAAATACCCATCTAGAAAGGTTTGGAGCTGAAAGAACAGCATGCAGCGCTTGTATACCAGACCAAAAGACTGTTCGGCACCATATCAAGGCATTAGTACTAATCTGTTATTTAGGTTTTTGGCCTGGCTCATCCACAGACGCCACATCAGAGTAAGTCATGTTTAGAGCCTGTCTTATTTGTATACGTCACTACCACGAACACCGAGGCCAAGATTTTTATACGAAATGTAGCGCTCGCATAGGTGTCACTTTCTCACTCTTGATTTTCTGGTATTAAACGCAGGAGTATTTTATTACCGTGGCTCAGCCTAATAAAGATTTTATTTAGATAAGTTCCAAGTTGCGTTTTCACTCTTGGGCATGGAAACAGGGTTGCAATATGAGATGAGAGACGTATTTCTATTGTATATGAAAATATGATATTTAAATATTTAATGTGAGTCTTGAGGTTGCCGTTATAGTGTCATAGTCACCTGTGTGTCGCAGTTCTTTTAAAAGACAGCAGTCATGTGAGGATATATTTATGTGTTCTGTTGAGAATAGCAGTTTATGTATGTACATAGTCATTTTAGCACAGCAATCCATACACTCAGTAAATCAGATCGAACCTTTGAGATGTTTCGCACCAGAAAGAGGAAGGTGGTAAAGTGAGAAGTCAATCCACCGTATATGAAACGCTGGAAACTTAGCATCTCTTGCACTAGGATCTTTCCTCTAATTGGCTCCTAAACTTTTTTTTTTTTTTTTCTGTCTATGCAGATGTTTTTCTTGCTCGTTTGTTCAGTAGCTAACGAGGACTCCTGCCAATTGAAATTTTCATCAGTTAAAACCTGATGGCTTTAATGGCTGGCGACTAGATATATCACTGATGTGCTACCTTGCAGAATACATCATTTTGATTTAGAGAGTCAGTAAATACATTGTGCTTTAGGGGTGAGGTCTGATAATTGTGCTTTTATGTAAATGAATCCATGCACTAATGTGATTTATGTACCAGATTCATGATAAGAAAGCAACTGCATATGAATATGGGTTGTTAAAATGATTTTCCCATGGCCTTTTTGCTTCTCCAGACATGAAGTTGTTGTGCTGTGTCTGTTTTCATCTTTTCTACTAGAATTCAAGATAGTGCTTTTAGAGGTGACTGATTGATTTAAATCCATCTTTAATTTTCTTTGTGATCATAATAACTGTACCCAGGGTGAGAGGTTTTTTTTTGTCCAGTTGAAAAATAACACTCGCATGTTTCTATTTAAATACTAAGCTGTACAGATGTACATAAAAATTCTCTTTTAGGGTAAATTTTTACAATGATTTAACATTTGTATTAATTGTAAATAGAATGTGAATATATTAAATGCACATTTTCATTACTGAAGATTTGTTTTGTTTTTCAACAGAACACTGTATGTTAGTGACGTCATGTTCAGATTCCCTGTGCTATATGAACAAGGCTTTCTGTCATTTAAATGGTGATGTTGAAATGGGCTAAATGCAGTTGACTAGAAGAAAGATCTGCCATTATTGACATAGGACTGCTGTCTAAACTTGAAGAGAGGAACTTCATCGTTTTGAGCGGTTCTAGATGTCTATGTAGTACTCATTTTCGAGTGATCTCAAAACAATCATTGGCAAGCAGTATAAAATCAATTTAGTTTTAAAAGTATTGACGATGAAATCTACATATATATA